AAAATTGTATTAATTTCAGTTCCTTTATACATGGATCACGGAGTTGGAAGGGGCCATCCAGGGGCCATCTAGTCCACCCCCCTGCTCAGTGCAGGATCAGCCTAGAGCATCCCTGACGAGTGTTTGTCCAGCCGCTGTTTCAAGACCGCCAGGGAGGGGGAGCTCACCACCTCCCCTAGGCAGCTGATTCCACGGTTGCACAACTCTTGACTGTCAGAAAGTTTCTCCTAATATCCGGCCGGTACCTTCCCGCCCTTAATTTCAACCCATTCTTGCGAGTCCTCTCCTCTGCCGCCAACAGGAACAGCTCCCTGCCCTCCTCTAAGGGACAGCCCTTCGAATACTTAGAGAGAGTAATCATGTCTAGTGCTCCCTCTAAGCTGTGGAGTCTTGTGAGCAAAAACTCCACTTTATGAGCTACTGGCATTCAAGTTGTGAGCGAGCGATTTGGCTGCTGTATAAATTAGTGTGCTCTGGAGCCCTCCTTCCTGAGCGAAGACAGAAATCTGTGAGCCGGAGGCTAAGAAACCGTGAGCTGGCTCACACTAACTCAGCTTAGAGGGAACACTGATCATGTCCCCCCCCTCAACCTCCTCTTCTCCAGACTGAACATTCCCAAGTCCCTCAGCCTTTCCTCACAGGGCTTGGTCTCCCCTGCTTTCCTTCCCAGTAGGGACCCAAAGTGGCTTACGACATTCTTCCTTCCACATTTTATCCTCACAACAACCCTGTGAGGTAGGATAGGCGGAGAATATGTGACTGGCCCGAGCTTCCGCGTCAGAGCGGGCATTCAAACCTGGCTCTCCCAGATCCTGGGCTGACACTTAAGAACATAAAAACATAAGTGAAGCCGTGTTGGATCAGGCCCAGGGTCCATCCGGTCCAACACTGTGTCACACGGTGGCCAAAAACCAAAAACACTTTAACCTCTAAGCAGCACTGGGTGTATGCCTTGAATACAGATGGTTTCAGGTTCAGTCCCCAGCATATCTCAGGGATTCAGGTTTGGAAAGAAGGCATATTGAGTCCCTGGAAAGCCCTGGACTATCTGAGCCAATCATTTGGCTTGGTTTAAGGCTGTTTTATATTTAACAGCGTTCCGTGCGCCTTGGTGTTTAGTCATGCCGGCCACATGACCACGGAAACGTCTTCGGACAGCGCTGGCTCTTCGGCTTTGAAACGGAGATGAGCACCGCAACCCTAGAGTCGGATTTTACTGGCTTTCGATCAAGGGAACCTTTACCTTTACTATATTTAACAGCAACCTGCTTCTTGTTTAATCTGGGGACAGCCACCTAACAAAAACGATTTTTTTTAATGTAACTTCTGTGCAACCCCCAAGTATATCTATTACCCATTAGATTTCAACAGCGGACTTCCCAGAGTTTTTGATGGACGTGAGCAATGCTCCCTCTAAGCTGTGGAGTCTTTGTGAACAAAAATTCTACTTTGTGAGCTCCTGGCATTAAAGTTGTGAGCGAGCGGTTTGGCTGCTGCATAAATCAGTTTGCTCTTGAGCCCTCCTTCCGGAGCGAGGACAAAAATGTGTGAGCCGGAGGCTAAAAAACTGTGAGCTGGCTCACACTAACTCATCTGAGAGGGAACACTGGTCGTGAGTTTTGCTCCCTGATTGCTTCTGCTTTTTGAAGATTGGCTTCTCTGTTGGTGCAGTCTGACTGTAAGCAGTGACAGTGCAGGGGGGCGTGGGGAGATATTCCCAGATCAAATGTGGAATATTCTGCTCAGGGCAAATGAAGGGTGATAGTACTGAACAGGGTGGATAGGTGTAAAATGGATGGGGTGAAGAGAGTGAACTCGGGATCTGCGCTCTGAAACCCCTAAACTCTGCACTGATAAAAGTAGAATTCTGCAACTTGTCCTCAGAACATGCAAAGTAGTTTTTTAAGACAGAAGGAGTGTCCTCGAGCATGTGCAGAATGCCTTCCCTTCACCAATAAGAACCCACAGCCAAGCCCTATGGGGTTAGGGTGGGGTTGCCAGGTATTACCTGGCTGCTAGCAGGGGAGGGGCCATCCTTCTGGCATGCCCGGAGATGACATCGTCACGCTGGGCATGCCAAACAGGACGCTCTAGCATTTGGGCAAAATAAACTCTCTATGGTCACCATAGAGTTTTTGCCCAACTACCAGAGTGTCCCCTGTGCGATGTTGCCAATTGGGGGTGGGTGGCGGGTAAACCCCCACTTCGGAGGCCCGATTTCCGGCTCCGCGGAATCAGGCCCTGGGGGGAACTCCGCCCCCGAAGCGCCCCCCCGAAGCGCACCTCCGGTGACGCAACCACGTCGCTCACGTTGGGGCCGTGGCCCTGATCCTCGGAGGGAAAAACCCCTCCGACGATCGGGGCCATGCCCCCAACGTGAGCAACATAGCGCGTCACTTCCTGTGATGTGCTGGCGGCGCGCACGCTTTGCGCGCGCACAAACACATCCCGAAAGAGCTCCCGGAGCCCAGTGAGGCTCCTCCACAGCCAAGGTAAGTTTACTTGGCAACCCTAGCGATGTGCCTGGCACAATGATATCATCTCTGGGTGACATCATCACGCCAGGCACGATGGGGCTTTTCAGGGGTGGGGCTCCCCCCACCGGCCTGTTGGGTTAGGGAGCACAGATTCCATGTCTTATAGTGCGGCCTACAGGAATTTGCGAGTACCGGAATGTATAAGAATGTCTCAGGGACTATACCAAACAACATGGAATGCCTAGTTTCTTTGCTGTGTAGTAGGGCGAGGGAAACTGAGTCGCATTGTTATGTGTGTTACTCCTGTTCGTCTGTCACGATAGGACGCTTGGTATGTGTCATCGGCAGCAAAATCCTGTGATGGTTTGGAATTTGCAGTATGACGAATGTGAAAGATTACCAAGTGATTCCCCACCTCAGCTCAGAATCGTTTGCATTTTCCGAACTGAAGTGGATTAGCTCTAGCCAGGGCAAGGGGGAAGGTAGCAGCGCTACCTGGCAGGGTGTCCCCAGGGCCGTGAGTCCCCTATAGGTGGAAGGTTTGAATCCAACATGTAGTTTTATTTATTTATTTATTTATTTATTTAGGACATTTTTACCCCGCCCTCCCCGCAAGCGGGCCCAGGGCGGCTTACAGGGGGCAGAAGCCCAGCATAAAACCCACTAAAACAGTAAAATCACAATTGTAACAATAACAATAACAATAAATAACAATAAGGTGCCTCATTAGACAGATGGTCTTGCGTAGTTATCGTTTTGGTTTTTACCTTTAAAGCCCTACATGGTCTGGGACCAACATATCTCCGGGACCGTGTCTCCTGGTATGTCCCCCAATCTCCTGGAGGTCCCCGGCCTGAAAAGTATTCAGCCTCAACCCGGGTCAAAGCCTTCTCGGCTCTGGTCCCGGCCTGGTGGGAAACCCTTCCAGAAGAGATCCGGACCCCGCGGAATCTGATGCAGTTCCACAGGGCCCGCAAGACAGAAATGTTTTGCCAGGCCTACAGTTGAGTTAGCGAAGTTCCATCTGAATTGGCCTCCCCTAGTCCCTCTCCGCCATCTCCGCCTGTCATTTTACCGACTTTTCCAGCGACCCACAGGCTGTACAACCTCACTTTGGATAAATGATGTTATTCCGTGCCTTACATCGCCGTCTGATTTTATCTTAATTTATTGTTGTGTGATAATTGTTTTTAACAACTAATAGATGGTCATCGTTTTTAACACTGTTGTTACCCACCCTGAGCCTTGCTGCTCAGGAGAGGGCGGGCTATAAGCCCAACAAAATAAATTTAGGTAGGTGAAGATCTTGCCCGAATTGGCTTTCCTGAGTTGACGTGGAACTGAAATTTTGACAGCAAGGGAGTCAAAGTTTGCAAAGAGAGAAATGTGGGTTAGGGCCTGTCTGCCAACAACCTTTTCTAAAATGATGTAAAGGAGTCTCTCTAAACTAGGGATTCCGGGTCTCTATGCCACTAAATCTTCCTCTGGCGGAGACGAACTTCCTCCGAAAGAGGCAGAAGGAGTCTATCACTACACAGGCTGTTGCCCAGGAGACCCCAGCTTTGCCTGGAAATTTGTTGACACAGTTTGGTCTCATTGATTGGGTACCATCAATATAAGGTTTGTGGGGGTCACCTCCCACCCTTTAGCAAAGCTGCATGCTGAATAGCAAACACATGACAGTAGGCGAGCAGTTGTGAGGTCCCTACATTGTAATTAGGAATCTACCTTGCGTGCTAAAAGAATTTTAGACAGTCCACATTCTATTACACGGGAAACTGGAATTTTGCATCAAGATAATTCTATACAAGTTTTCAGCTGTGTTGTGATCCACTGGCAATTGTGCAAAGCCCCCCCTGTGGTTTCAGAGACGTTATCCTCGGTCATCGCCCGCACGGTTTCTCTGCCCGTCTTAGCAGCCATGAGGACTAGCCACTCGTTTTAAAATAAATAAATAACACCAACCTTTTCAGGAGGCTGAATCCTATGGTCAGTACCTTACAGAGTATGTACGTGGTAACAGAGACTGTACACAGCCCTGTTTATATATATCTGTCTGTGTTTGAGTGACTTAAGGCTTGTCTAATCCATTTTAAGAGAACAAGGGGATGCTTTGTAGATGTGTGGAGCCGAACAGCAATTGTACACAGGTTGGGTTTTCTCTGTACTGTTTGAGCATTTTGGGGGTATGATGGTATGTAACCTGGTTCTTTTGTCCCCGGTAGGGGTTTCCTTGACTCCTGCTCTGCTCTTTCCTTGCGAACCTTTACTCTTTTTGCGAGAACCGAGAAGGTCGGCCCCTTTGCGAACCTTTACTCTTTTCGCGAGAACCGAATATTCTGGAAGGCCGGGCCCCTTGTGAACCTTTAGTCTTTTCGCGAGAACCGAATACTCCAGAAAGCCGGGCCTCCACACATCACATTGTGTTTACGAAGAGGTTGCCTGCTGTAGAGCTTGAAGAACAGATAATTGAAACGCCACTGGAGTTGTAACAGGGTCTCTCTTCTATCTCCCACATAACAGATTCTACCTCAGAAGAGGAGGAGGAGGAGGAAGAGGAAGCGCAAGATTATAGGCTGGGTGGGAGCGAGAGGCTTTCGCCCCCTGCTTTGGATGAGAGCGGTCTGGGTCTACTCGCAAGATTCGCCGCCAGCGCTATGCCAAGCCCCATCATCCCGCCTTCTCTCTCCATCGTTCAGCTGGAAGCAAAGCAGAAGGCCAAGAAGAAGGAAGAACGGCAGAGTTTGATGGGTAAGTTTGCCGTAGCTCACATTCTTTTCCTGCGCAGAAGTTTCCAGGTTCAATCTTTGGCCTCTCCCTGTTTTGAAATACCTCTGGTGGCAGAGCTGGAAATGACCTTTGTCTGAGATTTTGGGAAGCAGCTATCGACTTGTGGGGTAGTCCCGGGGTCAGTGTGAAGTACCTGTGGTGTAGTGGTTGTGCATGGATTCCCCACTCCTCCACCTGCAGCTGCTGGATGACCTTGGGCTAGCCATAGTTCTGTCAGAGCTGTTTTTGAAAGAGCAGAGAGAGAGAGAGAGAGAGAGAGAGAGAGAGAGAGAGAGAGCGCTCTCTCAGCCCCACCTACCTCACAGGATGTCTGTTGTGGGGAGGGGAAGGGGATTATAAGCTGCCCTGAGACTCCTTCGGGTAGTAAAGGGCGGGGTATAAATCCAATCTTTTCTTCTTCGTTGTTCGTTTGTCTATCCTGATTTAGGTCCCGCATACTGGTTGCCATGGCTTCCCACAGGGAACTATGGGAATACTCAGGTGTCATGATAAACCCACGGTGGTCTCACATGGAGTCCTGATACAGATCGTCCAGTGAACTGGGGTTGGTTTCTTGGCACCGGAGTAGGATTTCAAAGAAGGGTTGGTACCTGGTTTGTGAATCTCAGGTGTCTGTAGCTTGTTGCGGCATCTCAATCCACAAACCCAGTTTGCAGCAAATATCTTGCAGCCACCTGGCCACAGAGGGGACTGTACAAAGAGAGCCCTGTCGCTGCTGGGGTGCAGGCAAGAACTAGATGAAACTGAAAGTTTTGCCCCCCAAATTGGGATTTGTGACATGCAGAGGTCATTTCGGGGGGGAACGTGGGGGATCGCAGTTCCCCCGGGTGAGGTACGGGGGCGGGGCACATGACGAAGCCCCGCCCCCTGCTTCCGGCCCTCATTCAGCCAGGAGGAGGCAGGAGAAGAGGGAGGGTAAGTTGCTTCCTCCCCGCCTCTCCCCACCCCTGCCTGCCTGGGGCCAGGGAGGGCCTTCACGGGGCTTCCTTGCACTCCCACCGGCCTTGCAGGTCCACCGCCGGGCTCCTCATGGGGCTCGGCAGTGGAGCTGCAAGGCCAGCACCGACGGCCGGGACCGTTGGGGGCAAGGTGTGTGGCCTTATGACACATTTCCGGTGATGTCAGGAGGTGTGGCCTTATGACACACTTCCGGTGATGTCAGGGGGTGTGGCATATGCTAATGAGTTATGCTAATGAGTTCCCCTAGCTCTTTTTCTACGAAATGACCCCTGGTGACATGGGACTGGGCCAAGGATTCTTGACACCCCTAGGCGAATGATTTCACCTCCACCCCCACACCTCAGGGAAACTGCCTTATGGTGTAGTGGTTAGGAGCCAGTTTGGTGTAGTAGTTAGGAGTGCAGACTCTAATCTGGGAGAACCTGGTTTGATTCCCCACTCCTCCACGTGCAGCTGCTGGTGTGACCTTGGGTCAATCACAAGTTCTCTCAGCCCTGCCTACCTAACAGGGTGTCTGTTGTGGGGAGGGGAAGGAGATTGTAAGCCGTTCTCAGACTCCTTTGGTAGTGAAGGGCAGGGTATAAATTCAATCTCTTCTCTCTTCTTCTCTCCTCCTCCTCCTCCTCCTCCTCCTCCTCTTCTTCCCTCTGCATCGTAGGAAAACTGCCACCACCATCTGTGGGCAGGGTGGCCCCGGGGATGGTTTGGGCCCCTCTCCACCTCTGGCTCCCTAGACAATTGTCTAGGCACGCCTAACGGACAGGCAAGCCCTGTTGTGCCTCCAGACAACCAGAGTTTGTTGCACAAACCGTGGTGATGGTCTATTTATTTTTTTTACAGTGTCTGGGTCAAAGTCACGAGAGGAATTCTGGAACAGGGATCAGGATCGGGCCAAAGGCGTGGGAGTGCAGTCTTCTCTAGCCCCGTTTCTCCAGCTGTCTCTGGCTCCCCTCCCCCTACCCTCCCCCCCCCAACCCTTTCCCCATGAATAATTGAAATTTTGCTTTTTTAATTCCCTCGTGTGCCGCGGGCTGCAGAAGTAGCCCCAGGGCAACATTTTTCTCAGTCAGGCAGCTCTGTAAAAAAAGCTCCATTTATAAACCCTTTATTAATATGTATTAAATGATAATGGGATTTATAGCGGGCTTCAGAATAGAAAATGATGTCTTCCGTGGGAGACGGGCTTATTTTTAGCCAGCCGTATCTCCATGCTGTATCCCGGGCCTCGGCCAGTCTGTTCCGGCACCTTCCTGCCCCTCCCCTTTGCCCCATTGCAAAGGGATGAAATCTACTTGGCTTGTTTGGGCCCTTTATAATAGTATTACCCACAAATTTAATAGCTGTGTGACATATCCCCTCCCCCCTAACTTTAAAAACGTAGGAATCCTTCATCCAAAAGAAGGGTTTACTTGTAGAGCATGTGAAACAGGAAGAATTTCCCATCTCCTGCATGAGTTCTGCGTTTGCCTCCTGAGTGGGATGGAGAGAAGGTCTAGGACTGTGATTCACACAGAGGCTTGACAGAAAACCTCCCCTGATAATGCAGTAGCTCTTCTACAGCATGAGTGGCTCGATCATTCGGTTGTACCCGGTGCAGAGATGCAGTATAATTATTCGTTTCCAGGAGAGGTGGGTTGAAAGGAGGCCAGGTGACTGAGCAGTAAATCACATAGAGATGCAACGGGCAGCCTCCCTGCCCCACGGGTGCTGTGTGCTAAGAGAAGCCTTTAATTTATGTCTTGTGCAACCCTGGCGCGCCCTGCCCTGCTGTCTGGGAATGTGCGCATTAATTAGAAGGACAGCCTGTGCTATAATTACAGCCACATCTTCACCTCCTGCTCATGTTGGTGGCTGGATCCCACAGTGTCCCAGTAACCTTTGAGCGATTGCCTTGTGTGAGGTCGCTAAGGTCACATGGCGCCGCCGGCCTTGGCACTGGCAGCCCAGATTTGGAGGGGCACGTTGACACCCACAGAACCCCAGCGGCGCTGTGGTGGCATGCATCCCAAGCGGAGCGGCGTTGGGGGAGAGGCGGTTGTGTTCGGGCAGAAAGCCAACGGGAAGCAGAAAAGAATCAAGAAGGTGTCGCCCTGTGGCTAGAGTTGGATGGGAATCCAACTGGCTTAGCCTTCCCCCACGAAGGGGGTAGAGTTCATGTTTGCATACCCTTTGCGCCCCTTTCCGCCTTAATCAGACAGTTACATATTACTCCTCCCCTGAGATTTCACGTCACCTTTTAGTTGTATAGCTGGTTATATTCATTACGTATTTTATGGTATTGACTCAGAGGACTTCGCCGTATCAGTCTGTCGCTGCAAAAATAGCAAAAAGACCAGTAGCGCTTTTAAGGCTTAACAAACTTTATTGTAGCATCAGCTTTCGAGAAACACGGCTCTCTTCATCAGATGCATGGATAGCCAGTTTGGTGTAGTGGTTAAGTGTGCGGACTCTAATCTGGGAGAACTGGGTTTGATCCCCCACTCCTCCACTTGCACCTGCTGATGTGACCTTGGGTCAGTCACAAGCTCTGGCACAGCTGTTGCTGAAAGAGCAGTTTGTGTGAGAGTTCTCTCAGCCCCACCCACCTCACAGGGTGTCTGTTGTGGGGAGGGGAAGGGAGAGGAGTTTGTAAGCCGCTCTGAGACTCCAAGTGAAGGGCAGGGTATAAATCCAATCTCTTCTTCTTCTTCTTCTGGAGGGTACGAAGAAACTGGCCAGATTGGGCATTCTACATTATTCATGATTTCTGCAACTGCTCTGCATTTACTTGGCACTTTCTGTATCCTCTCCCCCCTCCCCATACCACCTATATATCTCTGGCCAGTTTCTTCATATGGGGAGAGGTGATCCCAAAGATATGCAGGCATGGGGGTTTGAAGGTTAACATGAGAACCTTGAACTGGATCCGGTACTCTATTGGTAGCCAGTGCAATTGCTGCAGCACTGGCTGAATGCAAGTCTGCACAGGTGTCACCATCGGTAGAAGGGGATAGACGGTAGAATCCTTAAGCTTCTTCGAGCAAGGGATTGTCCTGAGCCGTCTTTGGTTCAGATCTGACTTCCTTTGAAACTGCGGTTTAATCAAAGTGACTCTGGTTTGTTTTGTGGTTGTCTGAGTGCGAGCCTCTCCACTTGTATCTGTTAATTGGGCTCCGTGGAACAGGGAAATGAAGTTGGCTTATTAACCACGGATTATGCCTGAATGCAGATATCTACCTTTAATCCTGGCTTCTTCTTTAGCAACGCCTTCTCCGGCTAGAGAGTGAAGGAAATGAAACTAGCGTTTGTCAAGATGAACTAGGATTTCACAAAACTAATCATGGTGTAATGTCCTCCTTTGGCTTTGGGTTTTGGGTTCCCAGGTTAGAGTCCTCCGGCACCTGTTCTCAGGACCATTCAGCAGGGACAAGCTGGCTCAAAACACCGGCCATTTATTTGCAAGGAGACAACGCCAACAACCGACGACTTCAGCTAACTTACAAAAACTGGAAACTGAAACAAGAGCTCCACCCAATAGCACCAAACTAAATCGCACAGATATTGGGGGAGCGGGGAGCAGACTGTTCCATTACATATATACACTTATACAATAAATATACCCAGAGTTTTTTTTGTAGAAAAAGCCCAGCAGGAGCTCATTAGCATATTAGGCCACACCCCTGACAGCATAGCTCATTAGCATATTAGGCCACACCCCCATGTTACCAGAAGTGTGGTCATCCAGCCACACCCACCTTTTGCTTCTTATTCTCTTTACCTTGTTTGTTGTCAAAACCCAGGGCTTTTTGCATGTTAGGCCACACACCCCTAATTGTAGCCAATCCGAATGAGTTTCTGCTATTGGGTGTGGCCTATTATGCTAATGAGTTCCTGCTGGGCGTGGCCAACTTGGGAGCCAGATGGAACGCCGTTCCTGCCCCAAAATAGCCCTGAATATACCACACATGGTTGAAATAAACCAGGGTTGCATGTCAGGTTAGAGCCAAGCCATTACGGTTGCTCTCCTGCAAGCGTATAACTGTGCTAAGGTGTTTGTGCGCATTCTGCAGTGGTGCGAACATTGGTTTTATGTGCGTATAGAAATACAAGAGGTCGTGCCTGAAGGCTGGGATATCCACTTGATACGTCTGTAATACGACAGAGAAATAGATTCACCTGAAATCGATGTGTACCCAATTTGGTGTTGGATTGTGTCCATTGGGTGTAACTAGGAGAGGGTTAGGGTAACTAGGTGCTCTGACCTGGATGACGCAGGCTACCCCAGTCTCGTCAGATCTCAGAAGCTAAGAAGGGTTGGCCCTGGTTAGTACTTGGATCGGTGACCAGCAAGGAAGTCCAGGGTTGGAACGCAGAGGCGGGCGATGGCAAACCACCTCCGAGAACCCTACGGGGTTGCCATAAGTCAGCGGTGACTTGACAGCCAAAAAGAGAGAGGGTGTGCATGTTAGAGCTGTGTCGCTTTCTCAGTTTTGCCTAACTTCCGGAGAGGATACAGAAGTGTTGTCTGGGGCACAGAATACAGCTTGGTAAAATCTCAGCTCCCGTTTCAAAACTGTCGGCTGCCTAAAGAGCTGGACGACGAGGTGGTTGCCTGCGAAAGCTTTCTAGTGTCTTGAGATCGGAGTTTCCTACTTCTCCCTGTCCCGTGGCCTGACCAGAATAAATTATGCAAATATATGCAAATTTGCCTAAGATATACCGCTGGAAGAATTCTGAACTCTTGGTGCAGGAGTTTTAGATATGTTGACCTGGAATTTTTATTTTAGCTGAACCGTTGATGAACGGCATGTTTTTCTTTTATACCTCTAATTTCTTTGTTCAGGCATCCTTTACAAAGATGTAAAATAAGCATTTTTAAGGCAAGCGAAAGAAAGCCAGATGTGGGTTAGTTCTGTCAATTCTGGGGTTTTGGCAGCCTAGTTCTGGATGAGTTCTGTTGATTCCTAGCAGGAGGGACACAGGTTGGGTCATGGACGAGTTGGGTGTTGTGTCATTTCGGTTCCAAAACTGCCGTGACTGGATCACTCAGGGACATTGCTGGCGTGGATTAGAGCGTCTCTGTGGATTATGTCTTATTTATTTTGCTCGGCTTGTATATTTTTAGCAGGGCTTCCAGAGTGGTTTGCAAACTATAAATCATAAAAGCCTCTTATTGAAAATATTAAGAATCCCAAAAACCCTCACCGGAAATTCAATCTTTGGCAGGGAGGGTGGGGCAAAAATTGAACGAATAAATAAATAATCAAGACCGTGAAGCCAAACCTCAATGGCAGGGGGTAGTAAAATCCCTTTTGCCAGCTCGTCCCAGTACGTTTTATTGGATGGGCCTGTGTTACAGCAGGAGCACCCCTCAAAAGACAGGCATGAGGGGGTTTTCTGAGGAAAGTCCCTACGGATGGGAACGAGAACTGCAAGTCTGAACGATTCCGTGGCCCATTTTGTGAACAGGAAGACAGCATTGTGGGAATTTCCACTGCTTTTGGAGTGTCACAGCTTAACTCAGTGACAAGGGGCTTCCCTTTACCTCGGTGTGGAAAATGGAGGTGTTGGGTGTCAGTTGAGGCTGAGAAAGGGGGTAGGAGGACAGTTTGGCCAGAGAGGCAAGACAGTTTCCTAAGGTCTAGCCTGTTCACATATATCTGGACGTGACCGCCCCTCCTGCAGAGGCTTGGCGAAGGATGACCGAAACCTGAGGGGGATTCCTTGCCTCAGGCATTGGGGAGCTACAATTTGGCAGGTAGGATGCGTGCTCACCCCTCCATGTGCGAAATCCCAAAAGATGAGGTCCCTTTTCTGGCTTTTGGTACATCCCACAAGTGGTGAGGTCTGAGGAGGAAGGGGACAGGCCCTTTGGATGCTTCTTCTGGGGCCACCGATGTCTCTGTATATGCTACTTGAGGCAAGCATTCTATTTGTGTTTTAAGATTGACCTGACATCCAAACCTGTTTTAATGGGAGTGGCGAGAAACGCTATAAAGCATTAACCAAAAAGGCCAAGAGAGAAACACTGGCTAGAACCTGGTGACAGCCCCGTAGCTAGGGAATTCTTTGGGAGGGGGCCTTGGGGGGGCCCACCAGCTAATTAAATGGAAGTACAGTGCAGGTGGTAAGTTGGAGGACTTTGGGGGCAGCCCTGGAGGGAGGGGGCCCAGAAGAAACACAAGGGGGGCGGGCCCCATGGGCCCCATGTTAGCTACGGGCCTGCCTGGTGATAGCACAGAGGATGATTCCCCCCCCCCCAATTATCTAGGCTCTGGGTTCAGGATTTGCCACATTTATTTATTTATTTTCCACATTTGTATCCCGCCCTCCCCAGTGGGCTCAGGGCGGCTAACAAGGGCAAGGTGATTCGCCGTGCCATAATTAAAAACACATAAAACATCATTAAAACATCCGACGCTTAAAACAACGGTGCTCAATCAATTGCTGATCTCATACGTCCAAGATGGAATCAGCACAGTTCCAGGTGGTGCTCCCATTATATTTATGCCCAGTGGAAACGGCTTATTGGATCTTCCGTACATTGTCCAGGTTCTTCCTCAGGGCCTCGTCGGTGCATCCTTTAAGGCACCACGACGGTGGTGGAATTGTGGGGCGGCGGCGCTTACTCAAAAGCCTGGCGGAAGAGCTCCGTCTTGCAGGCCCTGCGGAACTGCATAAGGTCCCACATGCTTGCAATCCTCTTGTAAACAGTGTCTTTCTCAGAGACTCCTCAACAGAGGAACTTGAATGTGGGTCCAATCCTCCATCACTCATATCCAGTGCCTTAATTTCTGCGGTTGTGGGATAAGGGCTCCCTTTTCAGGTGCGGTTTTGGATGTGCTGAGTTGGTCTTGCGGGCCAATTGACACTTGTCTAGATCAGACCGCATCCCGGTTGAACCCCTTGTTTCGCTGATGTTTGGGGTGGGTGCTGTAAACATTTCTTAGAGGCAGGTGGGGGGCGATGATGGCCGGCCCAAGGCTATCCAGTGATTTATGACCACGGGTCTCTTTTCAGGTGCGGTTTTGGATGTGCTGAGTCGGGCCGATTGACACTTGTCTAGATTAGACCGCATCCCGGTTGAACCCCTTGTTTTGCTGATATTTGGGGTGGGTGCTGTCAACATTTCTTAGAGGCAGGTGGGAGGCGATGATGGCCGGCCCAAGGCCATCCACTGATTTATGACCACGGGTCTTCAAACGTTATAGTTAGCCAAAGTAGGCTAGTCCAGGGCTTTTTTTGTAGAAAAAACCCAGCAGGAACTCATTAGCATAATAGGCCACACCCAACAGCAGAAACTCATTAGCACATTAAGCCACACCCCTGACATCACAGCTCATTAGGCCACGCCCCATGTTACCACACTTACATTTTGCTTCTTAGTCTGTTTACTTTGCTGTCAAAACCCTGGGCTTTTTTTGTAGCAGGAATTCCTTTGCATGTTAGGCCACATACCCCTAATGTAGCCAATCCTAATGAGCTTCTGCTGTTGGGTGTGGCCTATTATGCTAATGAGTTCCTGCTGGGTGTGGCCAACTCAGGAGCCAGCCGGAACTCCGTTCCTGTGCGTTCCTGCCCAAAAATAGCCCTGGGCTAGTCCCAAACATAACCCCACCCATGATTCCCAATTCTAACCCAGCAGCAGTAAGAATCAAGGGAAAAGAGAACAAGAAGTGAGAAAAGCCAGAGAGAAGACGAAGGAGGAAAGGGGACGATAAGCATTGCTTGGGCTATACTGGTGGTTCTTAATCTGAACCTTTTGGGGACACATACACGTGAAGCTGCCTGATATCTAATCAGACCCTTTGTCTGTCAAAGTTAGCCCCATCTCCACTGACTGACAAAATCTCTCCAGGATCTCAGTTGCAGGTTTTCCACATCACCTACTACGGGACCCTTTTAATTGGTCATGCCAGGGATTGAACCTGGGACCTTCTGTGTGCAAAGCAGATGCTCTTTCCCCGAGCGGCCGCCCCTCCTCTCGCTCATGTCAACCGTTTGTCTTTTGTGCTCTCTTAACTCCTTTTCTCACACTTCAAGGCATTTGGTTAGCATTTACTGTAAACATCTCTGATAGCCCACAGGTAAAACGAGTCGAATTGATTTGAATTGACCGACTTAAGTGTTTAAAAAGAACAAAATGCTTGAGGAATTTCAAGGGTGGGGTTGTTGTTCTTCTGGTAGCCTCCAGGCACAGGGCTGGGCATACACAGTCCAGTGCGAGGACAGGCATCTATTGGGTCAGATCCAATCAAGATGGCACTTGGCTTGATTCAGTCTTTTCCTTTACGTTAAGGGACGGAGTTTGAGTACACAGATTCGGAAAGCGAGGTGAAGATCAGGAAGAAGTCTCCTTCTCAGTTGCTGCGTGGGAAAAAGGGAATGTTGGAGTCAGGCAACACCACACCCGTACAGTCCGCAAGTTCCACGGACTCCTCCTCCGGGGTGAGTTTGGACAAGACCAAGATGGCGTCCGAGAAGAGCCGGAAGCTGAAGAAGTTCAAGTCGCCCAAAGACCTGAGCTTTGAATTTGGGCTGGAGATGAGCGATGATGACCTCTGGAACCGGCGGCGAAGCGAGCGGATCTTCCTTCACGACGCCACCACGTCGTCAGCCGTACTGTCCTCCACCACGGCAAGCGGCTCAACACCTGGGCCCAAGGCCAGCCGCTGCGTGAAGGGGTCTCCCCTGAGTCCCAAGAAAGATGGGAGCAAAGGGAAAGTATCTTGTCAAGGTACGAGCCACTCCTACCGGGCGGGGGAGGCTTCGGGGAGGGACAGAGAACAGGTGGAATATTTACGGTGGATGCGAATCCTGTCTGCAATGTTCTGGGATCCACCAAAGGTAAGGCTTGGGTCCAGAATGCTCCTGGGGAGGGAGACGATCAGCTCCTAATTTCAGGCCAGGGCAGATTCCAGGACAGATCCTGCGCATGGGGGTGGGGGGACAGAATGTGGGAGTGGGGGAATCAGTGAAAATCGCTGTCCTCCCCTTCTTCTCAAAGAAGAAACGTCAGTAAAGAAAAACGGAAGTGAGGATCTGAGCTCCAGTGGCTTTGCATAACAGCCATTTCGTGCATGCTTTAATTTGGCTTCTCACAAGAGCCAGTTTGGCGTAGCGGTTAAGAGCAGCGGACTCTAATCTGGGAGAACCGGGTTCGATCCCCCCACTCCTCCACTTGAAGCCAGCTGGGTGACCTCGGGTCAGTCACAAGTTCTCTCAGCCCCCCCCCCCCCGGCAATCAAACTTAGTTCACCACAAAAATAGCTACAGTTTCAGGCTGCCAGATAATCTTTGGGTCCCCTGGCTCGACAACACCCCCACCGCCGTACAATAATTAATTAATTAATTAATTAATTGGCTTCTCACAGTCAAGTGTGTGTGTGTGTTTTAATTTGTAATTATTTTGTGCTAAACCTTTTATGTACAGAATCTATAAATCTGTGAATCACATTTTGAGCCATGTGACATTCTACTCTGTGATGGTTCCCTTGTGCTTCCATGCCCCGATTCTGCGTCCTTTGTCACCAATTAGTTAGTAAATATGTGTGGTCCTGCCTGTAAATCCATTCCGCCCCACACCCTGGCATCCACCCTTCCCACCCTTAGGGCTGTTTTCATACCTCCCCTGCTCCATAGCACCAAAGCCCAGTCTAGACATGTAGGAGAAGAAGCTGGTGGATCCCTGAAGTGCTAGACTGATCCCTGCTGTAGCACGCTGCTCCCCCATAGCAAATACACCGCAAGCAGAAATGTAGCAATTTAGGTAAAATAAGCGTCTCGCTTTTGTCCAGCTTGCAGCGTCCGTTTCTTTTTAATTATTATTATGACCCCCACATACAGTCAGAAGTGCATTTTGCCTCCTCCGATCCCGTTCGTTTTTTGGCATGCGCTGGGTGGGTGTCCACCATTCTGTCTGCGTCGATTGATCCGTGATGGCTGATTCAGGTGTACGAGCACCTTTCCCTCCCAACTCACTTTGCAAAGAATCTGAACGCCTTCAGGCCTCAGTGTTTCCTTGCTGAAACTGTGTCTTGCATTCTTTACTGGATCCTTGACCGTGAGCCAAGTTGGGAGTCCTTAACCTTTGCAGAACGTCATCTTTCCCCCCAACAATCAGCCACCCCCTGGAATTAATTAATTAATTAATTAATTAATTAATTAATGCCCCACATTCTCTCCTCACCGGGGACTTAGGGTGGCTTACAACGTTTAAAGAAATACAATATGCGATAAAAATAAATAAATGCAATAAATAGAGCAATAAAATCAATGAAAACATTACAGGGCCGAGAAGAGGATGTGATTTGGGGGCATGCCTGAGCCCTGCTCCCGCACTAGTGTAAGGGAACCCCCGTTCCCCTGCACTTCACCTGCTGACCTCACTGATTCTTGTCTGGCGACCCACGCTGATTGGGGAATTTCCTGTGCTCTTCTCTTTTTGTTGTGCAGAAGAAGAAAAATAAAGAGAGCCCTTTCTGCTCTTCCTCCTCTTCCTCTTCCCACTCTCCTCCGGGCATCACCAGCTCCCCGCCCGACATCCGTGCCAGCCTGGCAAACTCCCTCAGCTCCAGCAAGAAGAGCAAGGCCAAGATGAAAGCCAAAGAGGTGAAGAAGGAGGTGAGAGCTGGCGCCACAGAAGGGCATCGGTTGCAATGCGACCATTTTGACTAGGGGAGAGTGGTGGGATTGTTAGTGGGCTTGGTGGTGGAGACAACAAAAAGTGCATGAACTTCAATCTTGAAAAATTAAGTCCTGTGCCCAGGTAATCCAAACGACAGCTTGGTCAACTCATGCAGCAGAGCGAGGCATTAGGTCCCGCAGCTGGCCCGTAGCTACGGTGGGGCTATTCAGGGCTCCGCCTCCTTTCTTGAGGGGACAGCCCCACGGGCCCCTTCCCTAGAACAACCCGTGAATTCTTTTGTTATCTCTTTTGTATAAGTCCTCAGTGTAGAGAAAAGCCTTGTAGCCGGATCTTCAGAGGGTTTACTCTCAGGTAAGTCATTTCAGTCTTGGAAGACAGACATTCGCCTATCGTGTGGCTTGGGGAGGGGTTAAATTAGGGCTACCAAGTACTTACCGCAAATCGGCGGGGGATGTATAGTTCTTGGCGGAACATTCCCGCAGGGAAAACACCGGCGCTGCACTATCCTGTCGCCCAGACATGACGTGGGCATGTAGCCGAGCGACGCTCTGACAATGGGGCTGAAAACTCGATGGTACCATCGAGTTTCCAACCCCATTGCTGGAGCATCGTCCAGCTATGTGCCCAGCGTGCTTATGTCACGTCTGGGTGACAGGATAGTGCGACGCGGCCGTGTTACACGCAGGAATGTTCCGGCGGGGAAGCATGTGTCCCCCGCCGATTCGTAGGTAGGTACTTGGTAACCCTAGGTTAAATACACTGAGGACTTATACAAAAGAGATGAAAGGATCACAGATTGATCAAGGGGAGGAGCCAGGGAGAGCAAGGGGGAAAGAAATGGGGAGGAGGCATCAAGACTAGCTTCCCTTTCTTGCCCCTCCCCCTGATATCTTCCAAACGGGTTTTGCATTTGGGAGAATCTACTGCGAGATCAGGGCAAGAAAAGGGGGCACAGATTGTTCTAGGGGCACAGATAGTTCTGTACAGTTGTGTACAGATAGAAAAATAATGGCAAAAATGGCAGCCCCACCAGAAAAATTTTTTGCCCCACAAGCTACAAAATCCTACAGTCATTAGAGAGGACTACCCCACTCTGTTGCTATGCATTAAAAGAAATAAATTCCCTTCAAACCGAGCCCTAGCACAGCATACGGGGTCTAGCTCAGCCTCCTTGTCTCCCCTTCTGTCTGACAGGGATTGTTAAAAAAAAGTTTGAAAATGATATCCCTCCTTCGTAGCCTGATGTCACGGAGGGGCTGTGGCCCCAGCAACAGAGAATTGCTGGCACGCAGGTTCGGTCACCATATTGAGCAGCAGGGACTAAGAACGACCCGGAATGCTGCTAGTCAGAGTTGGGACCGTGACAAACAGGAGGGATTCGATATGGAGGCAGCTTCATACATTCATATAACCAGGGGTCATTTCGTAGAAAAAGAGCTAGGGGAACTCATTAGCATAACTCATTAGCATATGCCACCCCCCCTGACATCACCGGAAGTGTGTCATAAGGCCACACCCCCTGACATCACTGGAAGTGTGTCATAAGGCCACACACACCGCCCCCAACAGTCCATGAGGGGCCCGGCGGTGGACCTGCAAGGCCGGCGGGAGTGCAAGGAAGCCCCGCGAAGGCCCTCCCTGGCCCCAGGCAGGCAGGCAGGGGTGGGGAGAGGCAGGGAGGAAGCAACTTACCCTCCCTCTTCTCCTGCCTCCTCCTGGCTGAATGAGGGCCGGAAGCGGGGCGGCCGGAAGCAGGGGGCGGGGCTTCGTTATGTGCCCCGCCCCCGTACCTCACCCGGGGGAACTGCGATCCCCCGCGTTCCCCCCCCGAAATGACCTCTGCATATAACTGATGCAGGCCACTTACCTCCTCGTTCTGCACCTTTTCTTTTCACCTCACCCCCAGAACCGAGGGAAAGGCGGGGCTGTGAGCAAGCTCATGGAAAGCATGGCCGCGGAGGAGGATTTCGAGCCCAATCAGGACAGTAGCTTCTCGGAGGATGAAAACATGCCACTGAGCGTGCTTCTGGAAAGGCCACCCACGCCAGGTGAGAGTGGAGGGTCCAGTCACTGTATAATCCCTTCCCTTTTGTTGAGTTCTCTTTCCTGCCTTTAGCGAAAGTTTTGCTGTGCGTTATTCTATGCTTTTAGCGAATTTTTCACAGTCGGTTATTCCCTGCCTGTAGGGAATCGGTGGGTTGTAAGCTCTCCATATGTCCTTTTGTGGTTGTAACAAACTCCATGGTATACAAGCTTGGTTCAGATGTAATGTGGAACCCCGGTTTATCTTAACTATGGGCACTTTGTAAAAGTAGGATTCGGCTCACGGTTTGCCTCAACGAATACCGGTTTCATTTTTTTTGTTCTGTCCCCTGACTGGGCTTTTCCAGGGAATGATTTCTCTGGATTTGACCTGGATTCTACATTCAGACATCGCACAAAGTCATAGATGACTAACTGTGCTTAATAAACGAGTGGCAGATCTTGCCTTCAGGACCCTTAGATCTTACTAACTCTGGTTGGTTTTGAGTGTCATGTGATGTTGAAATAGGTCCATGCAGTGACTTCCCCCAAGCCATCTAGGACATTTCAAGGCTGCCTGGGACTTGAATCTAGGTCAGGCCCAGTTAGATCCAGCCCTCCTGTCCCTTAATAGATGAACAAAGAAGGCGGGGACGGCAAAGGATGAGATGGTTAGACAGTGTCATAGATGCAACGGACATGAGATTGAGCCAACTTCAGAGGACGGCGGAAGACAGGAAGGCCTGGCGTGATCTGATCCATGGGGTCGCGGAGAGTCAGACTCGACTGTGCGACTGAACAACAACAAAATCAGATTTATTTAGAAATTCAACGTTTACCTGTTATAAAAAAACCTAGAAACTCAAAAGAAGACGAAGAAACTAAAATATATACATCAGATAAACGAAAATAATACAATAAGTACTAAAAACCTTTTGAACTATGGTGCTGGAGAAGACTCTTGGGAGTCCCTTGGACTGCAGGGAGATCGAATCAGTCCATCCTAAAAGAAATCAACCCTGACTGTTCCCTGGAAGGCCAGATAATGAAACTGAAGCTCAAATACTTTGGCCACCCAATGAGAAGGGAGCCCTCACTGGAGAAGAAGACCCTGATGCTGGGAAAGACTGAAGGTCAAAGAAGACGGGGACGGCAAAGGATGAGATGTTTAGACAGTGTCATCGATGCAACGAACATGAAATTGAGTCAACTTTAGAGGACAGCGGAAGACAGGAGGGCCTGGCGTGATCTGGTCCATGGGGTCGTGAAGAGTCGGACTCGACTGTGCGACTGAACAACAACAAATGAACACTGGCGCTGGCTAAGCGTTTGCCTTACCTGATGAGGCATTTGCTTCCCTTCCTTTTGATGGTTCCCTGTTTCCATGACAGCAGCAGATTCAGGAATTTGAAGCATCCTAATTTGAACGAGCCAGTCAGTGGTCTTCATGCCAACCTTTAAAAAAAAAATCTAGTTTAAAGGTTTATTTTGCTGTGAGCTAAGCAGACTGGAGTACTTGGGGGGGGGACACTTAAAGTGAGTCTATTTTTGAATGTTTGGGGCCGAGCGTACTCAGATAATCTCTACCCTTGCTATCGTCGTTTAAGGTGAACAACAAGCTCCCTGTTTCAGGAATGATGGGATTGGACAGTTTGTGGCCTCATGCCGACCCACGGGGGGCGGGCGGGCTGGTTGCCTGTTCCCCACAACCAGGGCTTTTTTTGTAGAAAAAGCCCAGCAGGGACTCATTAGCATAATAGGCCACACCCAACAGCAGGAAACTCATTAGCCTATTAGGCCACACCCCCAACAGCACAGCTCATTGGCATATTAGGCCACACACCCCATGCTACCAGAAGTGTGGTCATCCAGCCACACCCACCTTTTGCTTCTTATTCAGTTTACCTCGTTTGTTGTCCAAACCCAGGGCCTTTTTTTGGAGCAGGAACTCCTTTGCATGTTAGGCCACACACCCTTAATGTAGCCAATCCTAATGAGTTCCTGCTGTTGGGTGTGGCCTATTATGCTAATGAGTTCCTGCTGGGCGTGGCCAGCTCGGGAGCCAGCCGGAACTCCGTTCATGTGCGTTCCTGCCCCAAAATAGCCCTGCCCACAACCAGTCCCTTCCTGTCCGGCTTTTTGGCAACAAATTTGAAAAAATATTCATTTTGTTGCCATGAAAATTAATCTTCAAATCTTGCAAATGGTGGTTTTTCTTGGGGGGAGGGAGGGAGGTATCCCGTTTGGCATGATGGTTTCCCTGGTTTGCCATTTCTGTGTCCCTTTCTTTTCTCTTCCCCCCAATTGCTGCTTCCTTCTTTTAGAATAATAATATGGGGATCACGTGGTGAGCAGAATGATGTCAGGAGACTGTGGGAACAGTTGGGTTTGGCCACATTCGTGGTGTATTGAAAACAGATCAGCCAGTATCATAATGCCCCTGTATAAATCAATGGTGCGACCTCATTTGGAATACTGGGTGCAATTCTGGTCACCACACCTTAAAAAGGATAATATAGCTTTGGAAAAAGTGCAGGAAAGGGTAACTCGAATGATAAAAGGGTTGGAACACTTTCCCTATGAGGAAAGGTTAAGGCGCTTAGAGCTCTTTAGCTTGGAGAAACGACGACTGAGGGGTGACATGATCGAGGTTTATAAGATTATGCATGGGAAAGAGCAGGTAGAGAAAGAGGTCCTTTTCTCCCTTTCTCACAAGACAAGAACTCGTGGGCACTCCATGAAATTGCTGAGCGGTTGGGTTAGAACGGATAAAAGGAAGTACTTCTTCACCCAAAGAGTGATTAACACTTAGAATTCACTGCCACAGGAAGTGGTGGCGGCTACAAGCATGGACGGTTTCAAGAGGGAATTAGATAAGCATATGGAGCAGAGGTCCATCAGTGGCTATTAGCCGCAAGGTATAGATAGGGGCTCTGGGGCAAGGGATGCTCTGTCTTCTTGGTGCTTGGGGGGGATCAACAGTGGGAGGGCTTCTAATGTCCTGGCCCCACTGGTGGACCTCCTGATGGCACCTGGTATTTCTGGCCACTGTGTGATACAGAGTGTTGGACTGGATGGGCCTTTGGCCTGATCCAACATTGGCGTCTCTTATGTTCTTATGTTCTTAACTGGAAGTGAGGGTCTTTTAATCAAATGCATGAGCGTGTTCTAAAAGGACTATCCCCAGAACAATGGCACACATAGTCAAAGAAGTTTACAAACTCCTGCATATTAACGTCTGTCAATCAAAGCCGTTGAGCAGGAGCTGTCAGTCTAGAACAATCCATCTCAGAAACCAGCCATGGTTTCTGTTGGGTCCAGATCCGGCAACCGCTTTGAGATACAGTGTGTATAAACAATCTGATGTAAGAGCAAATTTCTGCTGCCATCCGAAAGCATTTCTGACTCCCCTCCCCTCCTCCCACACCCAACAGCCCCACGTTCCTGTATAATTGACAAAGAGGAACTGAAGGATGGTTTGCGTGTCCTCATCCCCATGGATGACAAACTGCTCTACGCTGGACACGTGAAGACGGTTCACTCTCCTGACATGTAAGCAAAGAAGCGACATGGTTATATTTTTCATATACCCTTTTTAATTTTGGGGGGGTATTTTTAATATGTGTATGTGCGCGCGCGCGTGTGTGTGCATGTGCCTGGACGTCATGGCGACCTCTGGTGACTGACCCCTACTGTGGGCCGGAAGGGTATACAGCAGTGTTCCCTCTAAGCTGAGTTGGTGTGAGCTAGCTCACAGTTTTTTAGCCTCCAGCTCACGCATTTTTGCCTTAGCTCAGGAAGGAGGGCTCCAGAGCAGACTGATTTATGCAGGAGCCAAACCGCTCGCTCACAACTTTAATGCCAGTAGCTCACAAAGCAGAATTTTTGCTCACAAGACTCCACAGCTTAGAGGGAACATTGGTATACAGAGAGGTGGCTGAGTAAAGCCTGCCCCCACCTCCCTACTGCTGGTATTCCAAGGAGGTCTCCCATCCAAGTACTTGCCAGAGTCGATCCTGCTTAGGTTCCGAGATCTGAGGAGATCGGGCTTGCCCGGGCTATCCAGGTTGGGGCTATAGATACCCTTTTTAAGACCGAAAATTGTTTTCCTGGGCAGCTCATGCAGATTAGGATTCAGTACATGGTGATGGTGTTCAGTACATAAGATCATGGCTTGGATTTACATGCAGGGGCGGAAAGGGCAACTCGAATGATAAAAGGGTTGGAACACTTTCCCTATGAGGAAAGGTTAAGGCGCTTAGGGCTCTTTAGCTTGGAGAAACGACGACTGAGGGGTGACATGATCGAGGTTTATAAGATTATGCATGGGAAAGAGCAGGTAGAGAAAGAGGTACTTTTCTCCCTTTCTCACAATACAAGAACCCGTGGGCACTCCATGAAATTGCTGAGCGGTCGGGTTAGAACGGATAAAAGGAAGTACTTCTTCACCCAAAGAGTGATTAACACTTGGAATTCACTGCCACAGGAAGTGGTGGCGGCTACAAGCATGGACGGCTTCAAAAGGGAATTAGATAAGCATATGGAGCAGAGGTCCATCAGTGGCTATTACCCACAAGGTATAGATAGGGACTCTGGGGCAAGTGATGCTCTGTCATCTTGGTGCTTGGGGGGGTCAACAGTGGGAGGGCTTCTCGTGTCCTGGCCCCACTGGTGGACCTCCTGATGGCACCTGGTATTTCTGGCCACTGTGTGATACAGAGTGTTGGACTGGATGGGCCTTTGGCCTGATCCAACATTGGCATCTCTTATGTTCTTATGTTCTTAAGGTTGAGGTGGAAGACCCCTCTGGTGTCAGCATGTACATTGGTCATACTTGGGCAGAGGTTAGTGTGAGTGAGCAGAGGGGCCGTGTGGTCTACAGTTCTGCACAAGGGCTTCCCGTTTTTTTGCCAGAAAGAGAAATCATGTCCCTAGTCTTTATCGTTTCAACCGCAGGCTGGACAAAGGTCTGAGCCATGCACTCTGAAATCTCAGAGGCTGGTGGCGATGGGGAAAGAGCTTCAGTGTTGAACACATGAGACCGCCTTTTACCGAATCAGTCCCTTTTTTAATTATTTTTTTTAAAAAATATTTTTTAATTATTTTTCACAAATTTTACATATTATCTTTTGACCATACATTACATAGTAATTTTTATCCCTCCCCCCTCCCCCCTATGCTATTCCGGTGTTTTAGTCCTATATTCCCAGCCACGGGCACAAAGTCCGAATCTTGCTCTGAATGTCTTTTCTTCCTTCTGTCGGTATCCATTCCAGGTAGGTCTTCCACTTCGTCGTGATCCCCGAAGTCTTTTCTTTCCATGTGGCCTTTCTTTTCTTCCCATGTGGCCTTTCGTTCCAGCTTTTCGATTATGTCGGACTGTATGAGATCAAACAAATAATTATGCCAGATTTCTACTGTCCATTTATTTTTGTTCTTCCAGCCTAGAGCTATTACTGCTTTACTTGCTAGTATCATGGCTTTAAACAAAGCTTGGTTCTCTTTGCTTATTGCTGGGTTACCTACTGTACCCATTGGCATTAAATTAAAGTTGATGGGCAATGATACTTTACATGTCTTTTTTTATAATTTGTAATATCTTTGTCCAGAAAACTCTGACCTCTTACTGAATCAGTCCCAGGGGTCATTTTGTAGAAAAAGAGCTAGGGGGACTCATTAGCATAACTCATTAGCATATGCCACACCCCCTGACATCACCGGAAGTGTGTCCTCCCCACAGCCGGCGGCGACCTCCAGCGGGCACCAGCAGGGAGCTCCAGGCCCCGCCCTCCCACACCTCACCCGGGGGGATGGCGTCCCCCCGCGTCCCCCCCAAATGACCCCTGCTTGGTCCATCAGGATTACAATTGTCTGCTCAGACTGGCAGCGGCTCTCCAGAGTCTCAGGCAGAGGCCTTATACATCACCGACTGCCTGGTCCACTTAATATTACCTGGGATTGAATTTGGGACCTGCTGCATGCCAAGCACATGCTCTACTGTTGAGATACAGCCCCCCCCCATTCTCCTGAGCCTCTCGGCCTTACCCATGGCTAGCAGAAGCAGAAAACAATGTATTCAAAACCAGCAAATAGATGCAGACGTGTTTAACGTTCATAATTGACTTGCGTTGTTTTTTAAAAATTTCCTGGATGCTTTCTGACCCTCGAGGGGGCTTTGAAGTGGCTTCCACAGACCAAAGGAAAAAAACAAAACAGCTACGATGAGAAAACCACAATGCTGTTAGGGGAGAAGATATAAAAATTTAAATCTGCAGCAGACAGCAAGCTGGTGGGAAGAACAGCGGTTTCTATCCATGCAGCCCCCAACTGAATCAAACATCTGGATAGATTATATTTTATCCTTTTTATTGCATTTCATCTCTGGTGACTGAGTTCCATGTACAATGTCACATTTGTGCACTTAGAACGTTGGCCTGTGCCTCTCGGAGGAAGGGCAGGATAAAACTGCATGGAATAAATACATTTTTTAAACAGCACTGCTGGGAAGCTTATCCCAGCCTCTGCCTGTTGCTCCATCCCTCTGTGTCTCAGCTGCCACCTCGTCCTCCTTCACTCGTGTTTTGGCTCTGTGCTTTTCAGATACCGGGTGGTGGTAGAAGGGGAGAGAGGGAACCGTCCCCACATCTACTGTTTGGAACAGCTGCTGCAGGAGGCGGTAAGTCAGGTGCTGTGGCTGTCTGCAGGTCAGCCTCCTTCCCCACCCCAAATATTCCATGCATTCATATTCCATACGAATATTCCATGCATTCGTATTCCATACGAATATTTCATGCATTCGTATTCCATACGAATATTCCATGCATTCGTATTCCATACGAATATTCCATGCATTCGTATTTCCTGAATATTCCATGCATTCGTATTCCCTGAATATTCCATGCATTCGTATTCCATACGAATATTCCGTATTCCCTGAATATTCCATGCATTCGTATTCCATACAAATATTTCATGCATTCGTATTCCCTGAATATTCCATGCATTCATATTCCATACGAATATTCCATTAATTCGTATTCCCTGAATATTCTATGCATTCGTATTCCCTGAATATTCCATACAAATATTCCATGCATTCGTATTCCCTGAATATTCCATGCATTCATATTCCATACGAATATTCCATGCATTCATATTCCATACGAATATTCCATTAATCCGTATTCCCTGAATATTCCATGCTTTCCTTTGCTCTTGCTTCGGCCTTGTCTATAGAATGTGCTGTGTTGTCAGTAACGGTTTTTCAGTTCTAATTCTTGCCATTCCCATCATGCGGTTTGCATACCAAACCTACAGTCCTTTTCTGGGCTCCCCTAAACTGTCAGGAGAAAGATGGGCATGTAAATATTTTAAATATGCTGAGTTGCACCATTGGTCCATCTTGCTCAGTATTTTCCATTGGCAGTGGATCTCAGGCACAGAAAGTGCTTTCCTAGCACTGGCTTCCTGAGATGATTTTACTGCAGTTGCCAAGGATCGAAACTGGGACTTTCCAAGTAGGAAGCAGGTGTTCCACTCACCATGCTATGGCTCATCTCCAAATAAGATGCATAAATGCATCGCAGACTGTGGATTTCATGACCGCAGAGCTGGGGGTCATCTCTGTAGCATCCGACACCATGTGGTGATACTACATTACACTGAAATTGGGCGAGGGAGAGAGCTGTTTTCTGTAGCGGGTTGATTGCCTTGAGTTGGAAAGAGACAGCCCTTGTTGTCTTTTCAGGTCATTTGTACAATGAAGGCCTTGAGCCGGGCGGAACTGTTTCTGACCCTTCCACTCTCCCCTTTCCTCCTACACAGATCATCGATGTGAAACCCCCGTCAGTGCGGTTCCTGCCCGAGGGCACAAGGATCGCTGCCTATTGGAGTCAACAGTACCGCTGCCTGTACCCAGGGACAGTTGTCCAAGGTGAGACTGCTCCACTCTTTCAGAACATGTGTTGAAAAGGGATGGGCCACAGCGATGCCTGTGCCTTCTAATACAAGATGCCTCCTGAAGCTGGAGTGTGCCTCGTTTGTGCCTAGGGTCACTAGGTCCTACCTGGCTGCTGGTGGGGGGACTCCCAACCCTTCCTGGACTTCAAAACCGTAGAGTTTTGCCCAAAACCTAGAGTGTTGCCCCCGACATTTGAATTCGTGATGATGTCACTCCCGGGTGATGTCATTGTGCTGGCACCTGTGGCGCTGGGTGTGGGCTTCTCGGAGTTGGGCTTCCCCCACCAGCCAGCTGGGCCGCGGCGGATTGGAGGCCCTGGAATTAGGGGATTCCCTGGCCCCACCGGGGGAATGGCAACCCTATTTGCGTCTGTTAGGCTCTGTAAGGTCCCCTATGAGGTTCTCTGAGATTTGGCTGGACACACAGATGGGTGAAGGATTGGTGGCAGCAAAGAGTTATCAATGGGAGCTGTTCGACTGGGGGCACCCAGAGGAATGGTTGGCAGATAGGTTGAGAAGACATAAACGGAAGTACTTCTTTACTCAATGAGTAATTAAACCGTGGAATTCACTGCCTATGGAGGCATCAATGGCATTTAAAAGGGGGGTTCGGCAGAATCAAGGGGGAGAGTTCCATCAATGGCTACTAGGCCATGGTGACTGAATGGAGACTCCATCTACAGAGGAAGCAAATCTCTGAATACGGGCAACGGGGGAAGGCTCGTTTGGCCCTCCAGGGCCACTGGTGGGCAGCTATGTAAAAGAGGATGCTGGACTAGGCAGACCACTTGTCTGATCCTGCAGGCTGTGCTTACATTCTTTTGTTCAGTGGTTTCCAGTCACGGAGAAGTCCACCCCTGTTAGCAAGAGGCCTCCCCTGCTGACTACTACTCCCCAGCATTCTGCTTTTGAACCTAGAGTTCCCCTTTGGCTAACGTGGCTCATGTCATTCATAAATTTATCCAGCCCCCTTTTAAATCCTTCCAAAACAGGGGCCATCATCACCACATCTTCTGACGGGGAGTTCCACAAATCAACGTGTGCTGTAGTATGTAGGTCCACTATCTTTGGCTGCTTTTATGTCCTCGTCCTCAGACGGGGGGCCAGGTTTATTCCTGCTTACTGTAAAATACATGACCGTGCGACCCTCAACGGATCCTGCCTGCCCCTTTTCTGATTTTGGGGATAACCAGGTCCTGGACAGATAGTAGCAGGTGGGCATCTATCTCCTACCTGCTCCCTTCACTTCTCAAGTGCAAATCTTCTATCTACAGGAACTCACGATCAGGAGGAGGACGGGGATTTGATAACTGTGGAATTTGACGATGGAGACACCGGGCGGATCCCCTTGTCTCACATTCGTCTGTTGCCACCCGACTACAAGATCCAGTGTAAGTTTCGACTTCCCGCAACCCTGTAAGGGTAGTCCCAGAGGGGGTGGGCATGTTAGTCCCCCGCAACCAGAATAACGACATGTCTCCAGGGCGTTATAGACGAATGAATGTATTGTTGCTGAAGCATTCATGAGCCAGAGCCCGCTCTGTCCGATGAAGCAGGATCACTGTGCCCTAAATTCAATGGCCTATCTTTTGAGTCTCTGCAGGATGGTCTCAGCAGCACTCCCCTCCTGGTTCCCTTCCTCCTTCTGTGGAATAGGCAGGCCATACAGGAAGTGGTAGCAAAGGCCCGGTGAAGGGATTGTGCTTCGGGTGTCACTGTATTCATTTTCTGGCCCACCCATATTTGGGAGGAGGGAGCGTACAAACAACCACCAGGAAATTGTGAGTGGGAGCCATGCCGGAGCTCATGGACATTTCTCGGACACATTTGTCTGGTGCGCTGGTGGGCGGGTGGGGTGGCAGAAGAGATGTGCCAAGGACGCTGAAGCCAAGAACGGCCGTTGACTGTTACAGGTGCGGAGCCCTCGCCCGCCCTCTTGGTGCCCAGCACGAAGCGCCGCAGCCGCAAATCCAGTAAGGATACTGGAGAAGGAAAAGAGGGAAGCGGGATGGGATCAGAGGAACAAGCGGCAAAGGGCAAAGTTCGTGGGAGGAAACCGAGCGTCAAACAAAAAGCTGGTACGAGATGCCAACCTCTTTTTAAAGTTTTGCCTGCTAACGTGCATGGGCTTGGCCAGACCCTGCATCCTTCTGAGCCAGTGGCTATAGAGAGGAAGGCAGATTCAAGCATTTTAAATCCCTCAGCTGGAATGTGA